CTCACCCTCTGATCCGATTTTCAAACCATTTTTTAGGTTCGTCTTGGGCCAAACAAATATTTTTTAAAATTTTATCTCAATCGGATAATAAATGCGACCTGCATTTTATTCACAAGAATACATGTACAGACGGATGGACTGACATGCATAAATCGACCAGAAAGTGATTCTATCTCGCTTTCTCTCCACGTTGCAAACAATGTACAAAGACATAATACGCTTGCCACTCTGTTCTGTAGGGTAAAAAACCTTGAAAGTCTGAAATGTAGTGCGATTTATGAAGTTTTTATTACAAATTTTTTTCAAGCTGAACACTTTGTGCGTTGTGAATCCCAAAAGGCCTAAGTGAACAGAGATGGAAAGATTTGGATTTACATGCATTTGAGATACATGACTTTATCATAAGTCAGAGAACTATTTTTGATGTTAGTAATTAGACGTTCAAATTATGGCTTATAATTAAGGAATATTGTTCTTTTATTTGGTGCATTATATGTGGATTAGAAAAACCACAGAAATTAACTTAATATAAATTTATTTTTCCGATATGAATTTACTAGTATCTCAGTGGAGGAAGTTGTCGATGTAATGGTACGTCATAAAATTTTCATTATTCTAGACCAACTCCATCAGGGTCAATATTTTGAATAATCAAGACGCAATATATTTTAAATAAGCTGTGGGCATGAATCTCTCGGCAAACCTACTGCTTCATTATATTTGTTAAAAATATATTTTTAACTTTTACCTATACATATGGCTATAAAACAATGACAAACATACTTTGTATGTGAAATGTGTCGCCACAACAATAAACATTCTTTTCCTTCCCCCACTGCGTATGCGCATCTGTATGCACTACATATTAATCATACGCCATGTGTTTTATGTTTGATTTTTTGACCAGTCTCAACAACAGTTGTTGAAATAGCATTCATTATGGTGTGTGCGCTGTGTGTGTGTGTGATTTGTCATTGAAAATTATTTCATATTTCATTAAATATTATGTAAATGTTTCCCTTGATGAAATATTGTTACAAACACTGGCTTTGTTTTTAAAGCCACTTTGATTGAAGCAAGTGACAAAGAAACAAACCAAAAAAGCATAACAAAAGCAGGCAACGACGCACTCAAACACATACACACACATTCACATACACACACATAATATTGATATAGATGGCTTTTGTAAACAATTGTGATTGTTTTGTGTGAAGAGATAAATTGAATCACATAAATTTTCACAGTTGTTTGCTTGCCATGGTCAACCAGTCGTTCCGACCACCCGGTCAGCTGGGCTGACGCAGTCAAGCACACTGCCGCCCGCTCGCTCGCTAACCGCAATGGCCAGTCAAACTGGTGCATAATTTTGTTTGTGCGTTTGTCGGAATTCCATTCTAGTTTGATTGTCATAATTCATAGCATATTAATTGAATTCTTTGATTTATGTTTTAAATCACATAATGTGACACATACATGAAAAACACACATAACACATACATTCGCAACTTCACAACCGCATGTGTGTAGTAAGCATGTTGTAAAAATTCCAAAGCGTGCTGTGTGTGAGTCATGCAAATGCGTTCACTGGAGTAAATGAGATTCAAAGTTTTCACACGTACACGTACTCACACACTCAAAGTACAAAAGCCATGGCATTAAGTGAAAACGTTTGTGACAATGCTGCTGTTGCTTATGCCGTTGACGATGATGATGATGATTAATAAAAGTTTCACATTTGCCACTGCGGTCACAATCAAAATACCATCCAAGTGTCCTTCTGTTAATGTGCCATAGCAGACGTGTCCTTCATAGATGAACATTAGGACGTATTTTGATTGGTTCAAATATGAAAGGAATGAGAAAATTGATACTTAATATAAACAATTGTAAATCAACCTAACTTACGATTTAAAATATATGACAATTTGAAATTGAAAAAATTTGATTTGAATCTGAAATAATTTGCTGTTGCAATCATACAGCGAAATATTATATTTGTACCAGTAGGTATAAATGTCGACAAGGATCTAGAGCATTTCTGATCCCAATTTACTGTGCTGTATGTGAACGCTCGTACCAAATATTGCTGCTATATATGGAATCGGATGAGATATGTATGATATCTATAGTCATATTGAAACCGCTGCTGTTTTAAAATTGCAGTTTTCTTTAATGAAACTCATAAATGCGATTTACCGCATATTGGAAATATATATGGGGGCAAAGCTGAAATCTAATTTATTTTCTCAAAAATAGGCTTATTTCAGGGTCTAAAAATTTTTTATACAAAATTTCAACTTGTTTGGAAAATAAATATGATCTTTTCTTAAATTACAGTAATAATAAAACACAGTATGATATAGCGCAGAAAACCCGCATTTGTATCTTTAAAATTCGGACTTGTATTGCCCATTTGGTGAACAGTTAATTTGAAATCGGATAAAAATATATATGGGAGCTATATCCAAATCGGAACCGATCTCGATAAAATTGGCAAAGATATTTCCGAGCTGTTTTGATATATTTCCCCGAATATCGTTGTTACAGAGTGCATATTACTGCTGTGGGTAACAAATACAACATCGGATGAACAATATACATGGGAGCTATAGCTATATCTGAACTGATCTTCACCAAAATTGGCATACTACTTTCTAGACTCAATCGGTCGTATGTGCCAAATTCCATCCTATTTGGACAAATATTATACATTTGGTGAACAATAAAATATGAGAGCTATATCTAAATCTGAAGCGATATCTATAAAATTTAGCGAAGGTATTTCTGAGCTGCATTTGATATTCCCCAAATATTGTTGTTACAGAGTGCATAAAAGGGCTGCGGAGGACAAAATAACAAATCGGATGAACATATATATGGGAGCTATAGCTATATCTGAAACCGATTTCGATCAAATTTGGCATACTTATTTTCAGGCCTAATTTAGTTGTATGTGCAAAATCCTAACTATTCGGTCTTATTTACACGTTTGGTGCACAATAAAGGCAAATCGAACGAAGATATATGGGAGCTCTATCTAAATTTTAACCGATTACCTCCTCCATAGGGTTCGTCCTTGGGCCAAACAAATGTTGCTTGAAAATTTTCATCTCGATCGGACAATAAATGCCATCTGCATTTTGTTCACAACAGAATACATGGACAGACGGACGGACAGACGGACGAATATGCATAAATCGACTCAGAATGTGATTCTATGCAGATCATCAAAAGGAACTATGGGTCTATCTCGTATAAATTTGGTATTGTGTGAACGGATACTGCTTGAAATTTGAAAGCTGGAATTAATATCACTGCTAGTGTGTGTGGCTGAGATTTGGTGGTGTTTTTGGAAATACGTACTTAATGGTACTACATTTAATATTTGGGTAAGGCATTGAGTTGAAGTCTAAAGTTTGACACTAGGATCACCTTTTGTGTGGTATAGTTGATACATGTCAGGGGATTTGCAAATATATACTAAAAAGCAAAGCAAGTAAATAAGCTGTAAATTCGGCCGGGCCGAACTTTTAATACCACCACCATTTAGAACGAATTTAGCAAATTTTCAAAAAAAAAAAAATCCCTTAAAAATTCTGTTAAAATCTTAAAAATACCGAATGAATACATTATGTTAGGGCCTATACGATGACGTGGACCTGCATATGCAACTTTTATTATAAGCCATTACAATACTCAAATGCGAAACTTGAAAAAAATCGGTGATTAATGTAGATAAATTCATCAAAATACCGAATATAGAGAGGTACTATTATATGAGAACTATACGAATGCGTGGACCTGCACTGACAATTTCCGTCATAGGCTGTAATATCCAATACGAACTTCAAATACTGATTTTGAAACATTTCCGATGAATAATGTCGCTTAAAGCCAAAATACCGAAAAAGGGTATGTACCATTATATGGGGTAGGTATCATTATACCAAAACCCACATGGGCCGTTTTCAATACCAAAAGTCCTGCAGACATAATATATATTTGAGTAAAATTTTGTCAACCTACGTCATTTCGTTCGGAAGCTAGAGTAATTCCCCACTGACGGACAGACGGACCGATGTCTAAATCTAAATCGACATAGAATTTTATGGTGATCATTTTTGTGGGGTCTAAAATGTATATTTCGAGGTGTTATAAAAGGAATGACAAACTTATATACTCTCCATACTATGGTGGAGGGTATAACAATTAAGTTCACCCGGTTAAACTTTTAATATCCTCCATCAATAGGTAAAAAAAAACATTTTTAAAAAAGTATCTGAATTCAATCGTGTTCCTACATATACTACATAGAGAGTAAGTAAATAAGGCCATTATATGGCAAAACGAGAACTTATACAGACAATATTTAACTAGGAAAACGAAGACTGTTATATGTCATTTTCAATACCAACCATCCTAGACTCAATAAAAAATCCATGTGCCAATATTTGAAGCTCTGCGTCAAATAACGGACAGACAGACAGACGGACATCGTTAAATGCTTAGAATTGTATGCTAGTCATCTATATATTCCTTACGGGATGTTACAAACGGAATGACAAAGTTAATATTCCCTCTTTTTCAATGTGGAGGGTATGAAAGGTACTAAATAGTATTAACTTTGGTATTTGGACAAGGAATAGAGCCGGAATGTGATATTGGAGTAAGAGTCTTTGATCTTGTGTAGGATGGACCAACTAAAGGTTTGTTTTTTTTTTTTTTTAATTTGGTACCATCTGGAATTATGTGAAGGATAGTGGTAAAAAATGAAATGATCAAATGAAATGGATTTGATGTAAGGAGTTGGTTTTCGAAAATGTGTGCTAAGTGTAAGAATGTAGACTAAATGGAAGGGATAGGGCAGGAATCCCGATTTTTGATATTGAGATCTCATTTGGCATCTGGAATTGAAATATTGATGTGCTGTTGGAAATGTATACTATAATTGTAAGAAAAGTACTAAATTAGGTACTTACTACATGAATTGAGCTGAAATGACATCGTTGGCGTATGTGGTTAATATAAGCAGGTGATTTTCGAAATTTGTTTTTTTTTTTTCGAAAAGTACTATATTTGGTATTGACCTGAAATTTTATATAGAGGGGTCTGTTGGTATCTGGTGTTGAGGTTCGAAAAGTACTTAAGGGTATAATTTTTGATCACTGTTGGTGTCATGAATAAAAAGATGTACTTTGGTTTAAATATGCGCAAAAAATGTTATATTGTTTGGTATTGGGTGAAGTGATAGAACTGAAATTCTGAATTTGATATTGTCACTTTGGTCCCTAGGGTTTACATATGGAAGCGTTGAAATAGTTTGGACAAAAACAAATAATGTGTCCGCATTTTGATATAGCCGCCATACTATGATACCTCGCGATATTCGGTATTTTGATGATTTTTGGTACATTTTTGGTCTAAAATTGTTATTTGTAGGTCATAATGGATTCTAGCTCCGGTAGCGAAACATTGTATATATAGGTCCACGTTTTGGTATAGCCGCCATACAACGGTACCACCCTTTAGTCGGTATCTTGATGATTTTAACAACATTTGTCTAAAAGTTGCCAATTGTAGCTCCAATCAATTGTTTCAAATTTGGTATTAACGAAGATTTGGTAGATGACAATCCTTGAAGAATACTATTTTCTATAGAGTTCCCATTTTGGTATGGCCCCCATATGACGGCCCCACTCACTTTATGGTTTTATTATAAAGTTTAACAGCATTACCCACGCGGGTAATTATATAAAAATGTTTCCTTTACCCAAGGAAAGTTTCGGTAGTACGGCTTTTTACTTGTTGCTATCTACACTTATGGTGGAGAGTTTCGTGGCTCTCAAAACTTTTCTACTTTTTTTTGACTATTTAGGAAAAAATAGTTTAGCGGCAGGTTTCCGACTCAAATTATTTTCAGATTGTGTCCCCAAGTCTAAACATTTATCTTCGCCAAAATTGCCATGGCATGTGTTTTAAAACACCAATTCAACTAATAATTAAATGCGACCTATTATCCCGACATTTATGCACAAACTTTGAATCGAAACTATGCGTAAGCTTACAAAACTCCATGCACATCTGTTTTTGAGAGCTGTCATCTATGAACGAAAAGTATATGCGGTGCGGTTCGGTACGGTTCGGTCTGTCGCTGTTATTGAAAAAGGGACTATTTAGCTTTGCTGTCACATGTTTGAGAATGTGTTGTCTCTCAGCGACTTTACAAGGCATTTGTCGTTAAGCTCGATAAGCAATGTGGATATGTGTGCGTGCGTGTGTGCGTGTCCGTCTGTCTGTCTGTTGGACAATCTTAAATAACCACAAATGAGAGAAGTGACACTTTGTGTTACATACAACACGTAAAATTTAATCCATTAAGAATGTGGACGACTTAAGTGGGTAATCAGTGGCGAATGAAGTTGGCAAGGACTAACTTTAATGTGATGAGAGTATTTTTTGGGTCAGTTGGGGTTCCTCTGAAAGTCTTTAAATATGCAGTGGCCACGAATTAAATATGAGAATGGTATCAACGAGGAGATTTATGCAAAACTTTGAAGCAAGATTTTTTTCCATTTAATTCTGAAATGTCTGTAGTGATATAAAACTGAAAAATAAATAAAACTTCGTTAAAGTTTAACCCCAATTCAATTAGGAATATTTAACTTTTGTTTGAGCATGTTTTTTTCGAGCATACTCAATTGATAATGTTTTTAAGTGAAAATCAAAACGATAGCTGTTTGCCTGCCATGGGCTGGTGATTGTTCTCATTTCGGCAAATTTCATTAGTTAAGTATTAAAAGCAAAAATCCGCAACAAGGAAAAGGCAACAAGATTGCCACATAAAAAAACAGACAGAAGAGAACAGAACAGAATAAAACAGAAGAGTGGCTGGAAGTTATTTGATTAATTAAATTCATCAAGTTGAACATGAAGTAGTCTGGTTTATATTATCAAGAAATAACACACACACACACACTCACACACCCACACAAATATTTGGTATGGTGAGAGAATTGGTTGAAATGGTTTGAAGTGAAATTTCCTCATCCGATTGGGATGAGTAAAACATTTTTAACTTATTGAATTTTTTGCAACCAACAAAATATATCGATTCAATAAAGACAATAAAATGTCTATTTAATTACGTCGTTAAGACTTCAAAAACTTGATAATTAATTATTAAAGTGATGAATATAGGAAATCCTCCTTTCTATACCCTGAATCATATATAGTATGGAGCGTATATTAAAATCGTCATTCCGTTTGGAACTCATCGAAATAATAATTTCAAACCCCACAAAATATATTAAAATTCTAATTCTAGAGTCATGACGACATCAATCTTTTGTCTGCAAGCAGGTCAAGGTTGAAGAGGGCTAATCGGTCCTCGATATTCTATATATGATGATTTTAGCCACAGTTTTTAATGGAATTGCCTGATATTCTACACAAAGAGTTCCTCGCGACTACTTTACCCCCTGAAAAGGAATTGTCTATATACACTGGTGGCCAAAACTAAAGCAACTGAAATTACAACTTTTTAACTGTAACTTTTTTAAAAATTAAGAAAATGAGAAAGTTTTTTTTTTTTTTTTTGTGTTTAAATTAGGCACTTTATTCACTTTTTAAAAAACCTAAAACAAGAAACCAAAATTCATTTTTATATAAAATAATAATGTATGGTAAAGTCAATTAATCCGATTTTGGCTTGGACTAAACAAAACAACTCTGTTGTACATTCATACTTCTCGGTTTTTAAGTACTGTCCAAAAAAGTTTAAAAATGGCTAGAAGCAACACAGCAATTATCAGTGACTATGAAAACAACTTATCACAGAAAATGATTTCCGAGAAATATTTCATAAATATTTCTGTGATTCATAAATATTTCTGTATACTAAGTCGGTTTAATGAAACTGGATCAGTAGTAACAGTCTATAACGGATGAAGGCCGTGAAAAACTTCAGCCCGTACTGATCAACAAATTGTGAGAGAAATAAACAACAACCATTTAAGAGTACAACTGGATTGGTGAGAGAGCTATCATTGAATATAAGCTCGAGATCAGTGCGTAGACTAGTAGTGGTAGCTGGTCTGCATGCCCGTAAGCCATCAAAAAAGCCCTTTATATCGGAAAAATATGAAATGTTTTCGGAAACGCTAATATTAAGTGGTATCCAGCTCAATTGAAAAACATTATATCTGGGATATGTCTACGTTTAATATTAAAGGCTCAGACATGAAAAATTTTACAGTGAGAAGACCGAAAAAATGAAGGACTCAAGCCGCAGTGTTGCAAAGCATGAGGAAGGGTCAAAGATGGCGTTTCACAATTTTTCTTCTATGGACTTGGGTCCTATCCATGAAATAAAGAAAGTTATGAATCGGTTTGTTTACAAAGATGTGTTTGACATCACGTTGTTCCCTTACGCTGAGTAAAATATTAGGCTCATTTGGGTGTTTCAGCATGACAATGATCCCAAACATGCATCAAATATTGGTTGCGGGAGTCAAAAATCGATGTTTTGTCATGGTCGGTACAATCGCCTGACCTAAACTCTATAGAAAAACCTTTGGAGTATCGTAGACAGGAAGATCAAGCGAGATTCGGAAACAAATAAGCACAACATTTTCCAAAGAATTCGGGGGTGCCTGGGAAAGCATACCCAAGGATCAAATTGAACGTGTTATAGATTCAGTGCCTCGTAGGTGTGCAGCTGCTATCAAAAATAATGGATGCTATCGACTACTAGCCAAAATATAATTATTTTAAAATAAAAAATCAAAAAGTTGCTTTAGTTTTGACCAAGCAAAAATTGGGTCATTTTAGCTTTCCATATATTATTTTCGTTCAAAATTATTTTTGTATTTTTATTTTACTTTCTTAAAAGTGAAGTATAGACCTCATTTAAAACTGGAAAAATAATTATGATTTGTTTATTTTTGTAAAATTTACAGGACATTTATTGTCTTTGCGATTTAGTTGCTTTAGTTTTGACCACCGCTATTTTAATAATTGTAGCCAAATTTTGGAATAGTCTGAAAATCCACACAAGGAGTTCCTCTGTGTACTTTACCCTTACTTTTAGCATAGCACCCCATGCAACGGTACCCCCAAATACTCGGTATTTCCATGATTTTAGCGACATTGTTCACCTGAATTGTTTCAAATTTCGTACTTGAAGTGGAAGAGAATTGTCTATGGACGTCCACGTCTTTGTAAAGGCCCCATACAACTTTACCCCCCTTTATTCGGTATTTTGATGATATTAGCTACATTATTCACTAAAATATTTTATCAAATTTTGTATTTGAAGTTCGGAATTATTACTAAAGTCATGACAATGTTGCAACACCACGTCTTCGTATAGCCTCCATATAAAGGTTTCATTTGAGCGGTATTTTTCGACGGTAAATTTAAGTAAATTTTTGTAATTTCACCTTTAAAGTATTTATTCTAATTTATAAATTGTAATTTCCCCACAGGATTTCATATACTTCTAATGGAAATTTAGTTCACATTTTTTGTCTTCTCGAAAACCTAATTTATGTTTGTGATAATTGACAGCACCATTTTCAAATTCATATTTTTCTCATAGTCTTTTTGGGTGTGTCAATGGCAGTACTCAATTCGTTTAAAATTTCTTCAAAATTTCAGTATTTTGGAACGCTATTACAAATTGAACCAAGTGTTTTGCAGTCAAAAAGCAATTTTCCTACAATTTACCAAGTGTTCTGTAATTAGCCAACAAATCACCACGTCGGCAAAGCAAAAGTTAAGTCGCCAAACGCATAAAAAATCGCCAGGTTGGCGGGACATCGCCAAAAAAAGCTAAAACCGATGTTATAAAGATATATACTCTCGCCACTTGTTTATGTATACCTTCTTTAGAGGACATATAAAAAGATTAGACCTACATATCCCAGCGTTGCATCAGATGCAATGTGAGAAATGTGAGGAGAAATGAGAAAATTTTTTCCATGATCGATATTGATCTAAGTTTGATATAAA